CCAGTGGTGGTTATGCCCGATCTGACAAGAGCGCCCCTATAAAAGCCCTCAGGGCAGAAGAGAAACTTCTTCTTGAGACCTCTAATCTCTCGAGTATAGTGATAAAGCACGACCTACACTCTTAGCTACCGACTCTTCTTTTCCTTCTTTTTTGCGTTCTAACTTAAGCATCAGAGTATTCCCACCGGGTAAAATCCCCAGGAATCCTTCCTTTCCATCTTCTCAGGTGTCGTCCGTTGCCAACAAGGAGTCACTCAGCAGCCAGCTAGGAGTGCCCGGATCGTGCCGCATCATTTGGCATCGTCTATGCGCCGCCAAGATGAACGCCCTTCTTGCCAAGGAGAAGCCTCCCAAAACCCTCCTAAGAGCCAGGCCTCCCCCCGTGGCAGACAAGAGAGACTAGCTACCCCGGTCTCGTCGCGGGCGGTCAGGTCGGGAGGACCCCAGCTCACCAGGTCTACATCACTTCGGCAGTCAAAGTTCGAAACCCCGCTTCTGGAGAACCGGTTTGAGATCCTGGCTGCAGGCTCCAAGTAGGATCCCTCTGTCCGTAGCCATCACAAGCAGCCCGAGCTACTTCTTGCACAAACCATTCCTGGCAGCACGGAGGTGAGCAGCACGAATGTGGAGCCCACCAAGAAGCAGAGATGCCGGGCGAAGCTAAGGCTCCCCTCCTTTCAGTTCCATCCCCCTGTCTCCTGGGCTCTTGTCTGTCCCAATGTCTAAAGACTTCAAGCTCCCCCCTCTCGACAAGTATGACGGGTCATTTGACCCAAATGACAATGTAGACGCCTTCTAGTCGCAGATGCACCTGGTGAGGGCTAGCGAGTCTTCCATGTGCGTGGCCTTTTCCACCACTTTCAGAGGAGTGGCCCGCACATGGTACCGAAACCTGACACCCGGATCGATAAGAAGTTGGGCGCAGTTCGTGCAAGCCTTTACGTCCCACTTCGTTACCAGCAAACGGTGCCCGTGAACTGAGGAAAGCCTTCTCAACATAGTCCAGATCCGGGGCTATATCAAGCAGTTCAATGATGCGTGCATGCAGATACCGCGCCTGGACCCCGCTGTGCGCCTCGTAGCAGCCAAGAAGGGCGTGACGCATAAAGAGTTCAAATGGCACATGGTCGTCAACCAACCGGTGACCATAACTGAATTCCTTAAGATCGCAGACATGTTTATAGCCACGGAGGAAGAGATCAACCAGAAGGGCGAGGGCGCGCTCGAGAAGAGGAAAAGGGAAGGAGAGCCTTCCAGCCAAGGAGATAGCCGAAAGGAAAAAGACGCAGCTCGAGGGGCAAAGCTGGGTCAGTCGTTCCAAGTTCCTATAGCGGACCGAACTGATTACACCCCACTGAACGCGAAGCGGGCCGAAATCCTGATGGCGATCAAGGACGCCCCATATGTGAAGTGGCCACCCCGTCTGAGGGGCTATCCCAACAAGAGAAATAAGAATTTGTATTGTAGTTTTCACAGAGATCACGGTCATAGTACCGAGAATTGTAAAAACCTCTGCGACGAGATAAAGGAGCTCATCCGTTGCGAATATTTAAGGAACTTTGTACAAAATAATAATAATAATAAGGCAGGTCGGCAAGGGGAGCATGGTAAGGCTCGTCCTTGTTGACTCAGGTAGCTCAGTGGATATTCTTTTCAAAGCCGCGTTCGACCAGCTTCAGTTGCAGGGAAGTGACTTGAAGCCCGCGAACACTCCTTTGGTGGGCTTCAGCAGAGAAGAAGTCAAGCCCCTTGGGAAAGTGATAGTACTTGTGGAAGTCGGCACATGGCTTTGCGTAGTCAGACTCAACCACGACTTCCTGGTGGTCGCGACCCCCTCCCCATACAACACCATAATAGGTCGGCCGATCACCCATGATCTACGGGCGGTGGTCTCCACTTATCATTTGGCAATGAAGTTCCCTACAGACTTCGGTGTGGGGGTAGCGCGGGGCGACCAGCTCGAGTCCCGCAAGTGCTATGTCGCCACCCTAAAGGGAAAGACCAAGGTGGCCGACAACCTCGAACTGGAGCGGCCTATGGAGCAAGGTGAGGAACGAGCTGCACCCACGGAAGAAACAGTCGTTGTTCCGACTTCAACAACAGACCCAACTCGGATGCTTCAGATCGGCGCTTCCATCTAGGAACCCCTATGATCCGAACTGGTAAGTTTCTTACTTCAAAATTTAGATATTTTTGCATGGTCTATGGTAGAGATGCCTGGTATAGACCTTGACCTTATAACTCACAAGCTCAATACTGATCCTGTAGTTAGGCCCGTTAGACAGAAGAAACGCAACCTAGCCCCGGAGCGGTGTAAAGCGGTCGACGAGGAGGTCGCGAAGCTCCTCACAGCTGAATTCATAAGAGAAGTCCATTACCCGAGCTGAGTAGCCAACCTCGTTCTGGTGAAGAAGGCTAACGGCAAGTGGCGCATGTGCGTCGACTACACCGACCTAAATCGAGTCTACCCAAAAGACTGCTTCCCGCTCCCCAGAATTGACCGCTTGGTGGACATGACCTCAGGGCACGAGTTGCTGAGTTTCTTAGATGCCAATTTGGGCTATAACCAAATTAAGATGGACCCGGCAGACGAAGAAAAGATTGCCTTCATCATAGAGTTCGGTCTATACTATTACAAGGTTATGCCCTTCGGGTTGAAAAACGCAGGGGCAACCTTTCAAAGGCTTGTAAATAAATTGATTGAGCCATTTTAATTGACAGAAAACTAGAATGTTATGTAGATGACATGGTCGTCAAACCCAGTTTTCGCATGAATTAATTCAAGATTTGCATTCTGTTTTTGAAATTTTGCGTAAGTTTAATATGAAGTTGAATCCAAACAAGTGTGTCTTCGGTGTTACCTCGGGTAAATTCATAGGGTACATCGTTAATTGGTGCGGCATTGAGGCCTACCCGGATAAGATTAAGGCCATCTTAGATATGAGACCACCTCGGAAGTTGAAGGAGGTTCAGAGGTTGAATGGCCGCATAGCCRCCCTGAGCCACTTCATGTCCAAGTCGGCGGATCGCTGTCTGCCGTTCTTCAAGGCAATTAAGAGAAAAGGGTTCGAATGGACCCAAGACTATCAGCTCATGTTTGACGAGCTCAAGAAATACCTCGCTAGTGGGTCGATCTTAACCCGACCCGAGGAGGACGATGTTTTAAAACTGTACCTCTCGGTGAGCGACGAAGTGGTCAGTTCGGTACTAATAAAGGAAGTAGATCGGATCCAACGACCCATCTATTATGTTAGTAAAGTATTGCAGGGAGCAGAAATGAGATACCTAGAGATAGAAAAGCTAGCATACGCACTAGTAATTGTAGCTCAGAAGCTCTGCCCGTACTTCCAAGCTCACACTGTTACCGTCCTCACCGACAAACCTCTGAGGCAAGTCTTACTTAAGCCCGAGGTCTCTGGTCGGCTGACGAAGTGGGCCGTTGAGCTCAGCGAGTACGACCTCCAGTACAAGCTGCGAACTGCCATTAAGGCCCAAGCCTTAG